ATCTAAACACTCTCTGCTTACAGTTTTCACTGTCTGAAATGCCAGTAAGAAAGAATAAGTTGAGGAGAACTGTCAAAGTCGAGACAAGACTTGGAAGACCAAAAAATTATCAAAAGAAATTGCTCTTAGACCAGTCAGGTGTGCAAAGCTAAACATCACTGCCAAGGACCTAGAGGAAGATTTGGCCGGCACTAAGATAGCAATGCACCAGTCCACTGGGCATTGTTGTTGCACAAGCAACATGTACAAGGAAGAAAGTAATATTAACTGTGATCTCATCACAACAGTCAATGTCTTGCATGCAAAACAACATCTAGATAAGGTATTTTGGAATCAAGCGCTGAGGTCTGATAAAACATAACATAAATTCACCAATCACCAAAATATATGTGGAGAAAAATGAAAAAGCATCTGATAAAAAACACCCTGCCCCCTGTCAAGAACGAGTGTTGATCTATTATGCTTCAGGGTTGTATGGCAGCTAGTGGCACAGGATATGCTGTGTAGATAGAGGGAGAAAGGTATCAAGAAATATCAACAAATCCTGGTAGCTAACTTCCCACAGTCAGCAAAGAAATTGAAGATGAACAGAAATAGGACATTACAACAAAACAATGATCGAAACACACATCAAAATCACCTTCAAGTTACTTCAACAAACTAAAGATTACGGTTTTGGGATAGCATCCTCAGACTTGAATATTATTGAAAACCTAGTTAGTTCAGACATGCTATGCATACAAAATGACCAATGAATAATTCTGAACTTAAAAAGTGGGGGCAAGAAAATCCCGAATCAAGAATAGAAAGACTGTTAGCTGGCTCCAAAAAACATTGGAGGTCATGGTTTCCAATAGGGGGTCTTACTAAGTAAACACTGAAAGGGTGCCCTAACTTACCCACATGTCAAATTTTATCTTTTATTTTACCCAAACTGTTATATTCATCAAATAAAAAATGTCCATTAAAATTAACAATGTGTCATATTTAGGTATATTCATATTTAAGCTTGTTATTGAGGGGGTGTTAACAAAATGTGACTGGGGTGCCCAAACTTTTGCATACAACTGTAGATATTGGCATATAGTTACACATGAACCTGGAGCAATCCCCTGAGTTTTCATGTAGTAATTATTACTATTACTACCTATATACATTTATATTAAGAAAAATCTGGTGAGTTACTTTTACACCAATTAGAAATTAACTGGTTCTATGTCTGAATGACAGATGTTTTACAAGCTATCCTACTGAGCTGCATCACAGATTTCATACCCACAGGCTATTCAGGTATCCATGCCATCCGGGTAGACTTAAAACAGCACCTGATTTCACTAATGACCTCTCTTCTTTAACAACAAGGGACCTCATCAGCGAGATCAGGTGCTGCATTGAATGATTGGAGCAAATCCCTGTACACACTGCAGTCTGCAATGCATTATGAGCAGCCATCACACACAATCTAAACAAGGAAGAAGCACATAACTTTATATATATACCTATAACGTGGGGAAGTGCTGGCGATGTGTGTGGTATCAAATTGTCTTTTGTGTAGAGTCACTAGCCTATTTGTTATCACGGCTGTTTGGACAGCGGGTGTCAGATAGTCAATGTGATAGCAGACAGGAGGCCCTGCATGAACTGCTAATGTAGCTTTAGCAGAGCGATGGAACTCCGGACACAACTCTGAGTGACAGCAGAGGACAGCCAATAATGCAAACACACAGTGATGGATTGCAGTGTCAGCTGCACCGGAACTTTGTGTATGGCAGGCTGGTCACTAAGTAAATAAATAAATAACCTGCTGCATCATATCATCTTGCAAACAAAGGTGTGCAACTGTACCTTCATTGATTAAACAAAATAGCGTGAAGGGATTGAACAGCTTTAGAGACAATGATGCCCATTTGCTTCAGAGTTGACCAATCAGATCAGTGGGCACTATAAAGTTTGCAGAAACACTTTACCTGAAACTTGATACAGAACATGACTTGTCATGACAGATTGTGTTCAGTAATATAGCAGCGTTACTTTGTCATTACCGTTACTTGTCAGGATAACTATCATTATATTTGATGTCATGACAGCAAAGTAGAGTACACAGAAAAAATTAGCATAAGCCATTATATCATGAAGCATGACATGTCATGACAATTAATGGTAATGGCAACATGACACTGCTATATTAGCTGGCTTTACACAGTGAAACTTTCCTGCAACTTTAGTAACTGCACTTGAGTTGCATAATGTAAAGTCTCTTGCAACTCATTTGAAACTCAGCTGCAACAGTTGCAAGCATTTCAACTTCATGAAATAGGTCTCATGAAACGGCCAGTCAAAATGGCCGCAATGCATCACATGATCACATCCAAAAACACACTTCCAAACCATTTCTTTCACCTGATCACTGGACACGAAAACAAAAAATGGTTTATTAGGCACACACCCCTTGAGTCAAGGTTAGTAGTCGTTTACTTTGTCTCTTTCTTAAGCCAAAAAACACTGTATTTCTCGAATGTTTCTGTAACCAGCTGCGTTAATTAGCCAGCTCACAGCAGCAACAAGTTAATACATCCTCTACAGAGATTACAGTTAAATATGATTTTAATTTGACCAAAAGTGCCCAAACTTTGGCATATGGCTGTAGATAAACTACAGATTTATAGCCATAGAAAAAGGAACAGTAGTGGCAGCTGGAACATATGGAGATGAAAAAAAAAGCTGCAAATATGTAAATTACACCTCACAGGTGATGATATGATGTATCAAAAAATACAAGCTGCTAATTTGGCTATCTAGTGTAGTAACTGAATGTGTTGCACACAACTAGTTTTGAATTGCTTTGTGTAACTGTCAAGTTGCACAGAAATTATGTTGCAGGCAACTTACAGCATGCAACTAGGTGCATGAAAGTTTCACCATGTAAAGCCAGCCTTACCAACTAAAATCTGTCATTAGTCATGAACATGTATGTCAGATGTCATAGTGTTAAGATGTTAACAAGGTCATTCAGAGTGGTTTGATGTGAAATACTTTTTTCTTGAGAAACTGACTGTGTCAGAATTGTTCACTGGTGGTGATAGGAACCAGACGTCTAAAGAGGTCAATGCCTCTAAAAGCTACATTGTAGAAGGCATTACATGAAATAGTTATGAATATAATGAAAACGATAGCTTTGAGAATCTTTTGGTCTAAAATAAATTTTTTAAAATCCACTTATGCTGAAAAGGTACACATGGGAAATTGTAAAATAGTCAGATTTACTGCTATTTTATCATTATTAAAATTACAACTCAGAAAACACATGTAAGTTCACTGGTGGTTTTGAATAGTCAATAAAATAGCTATATTTGTATTGTAGGCATTGCAATCACCAAGTCTGTAAAGAAATCCAAGACTAAGTCTGCTCTGTACAACGAACCATTTTACATTAAAACACTCTGAATAACTTTGTTCACATCTAACGATCGAATTATGCAGAAATTCCTGAAAAAATCAGTGTTAGGGCTGAGTTTGGACATAATAACACCTCACAAATGTAAAAAACACATCTATGTGTGTATGTGTGTGTGTGAGAGAGAGAGAATGAAAGAGAGAGAGAGAGAGAGAGAGAGAGAGAGAGAGAGAGAGAGATAGGGAGAAAGAGAGTGTATTTAGTGAATTGCAGAGCAAATTAATCATTTTAATTAACTGAATAAAAACCTGCATTGGTTTTTTGATTTTTTGATTTTCAATACAGATTATAGTTTGCATAATAGTTTCTAGATTTTGTTGTGAAATTATGTCAAAAAACTACTCCTTACAAATAACAAGATATGCAAAAAAAATGAAACCATAGAAAATATAGAAATTGGACATGTACAGAAAAGGAAACTGAGCTTATTTTAGGGTCACTAATGGAACACCCAGCATTTAACCGACTTGAGAAGGCCTTTGAAATACGATGAGGTAACAGCAGGTCACAGAGAAATAGAGAGAGAGAGAGAGAGAGAGAGAGAGCTTAAATGATAGAGGAAAGCATGAATCTCCAATTAGGTAAGCTTGTTATTGGGCAATTGGAGTGTGTTCCAGCCTTTAGCCTTTTGGCTGTGGCGTTCCGCTCTTTAGCCCAGAACCAGCAAAACGGCCTTGTCTCCTTTACAATGACACTGCACGGCTCACAGAATCAAGTGCTACAGAACATTTCAGTGCTCCAAATCCAGTGTGCTAAATGTTACCATACACATATATAACTGTGATTAACAGTGTAAAGAATGAAGTAAACAGACAGTGCAATGGACTAAAACCCACTTCACCTACTGAAAGGTCTCAGCTCACAAGCTGAAAAAAGCAAAAAATACACTGAACTGTGTGACCTTGCTTTGACTGAGACTGAACAATTCAGGTCTAAATTAGTGTGAGGTTGTTGATATGTGTCTGGAGAGAACCTTAGCTCTTTTCCACTTATTCTATGACCAGCCTGGTGCTGAAAGCGAAATACTGCCTCCTATAAAGCTGCTACATTGTAGTAAATATAGACATCTGAACTAAAATGTAAGACAATTAAATTGGTAGGTGGCTCTTGAAGAGAAGCAGTGCTCTAAACACAGGTCAGACCCCTGCAGCCCAGCAGGCGCTGTGTGCCCGCCGAGCTTCACAATGTATTTTGCTCTGCAGGCCTAATAACTGGTATTAATCATAAATATCATCATCAGAATTGGCCGTCTCTCATTTTAGCTCTCTCGGCCCGTATGAATACAGCAGAGTGACTATTACTCTGCAGAGCTCTTATATAGGGGGTAAGGCATTTGCCTGCATAGATTTGAGCCTTGTTCAGCAGGGGGGAAATTATAGAGTGAAAGACTAGAGTGAACCTGCATCACACTGTGCTGTCCTCCAAGACCCTACACAGCCTGAGCAGCTAGTGTTCAGAGTGTGATGATACTGACATCTGCTGGAGGAAAGAGTCATTACAAGGTTTTTATTTTACTGAAATATAAAGTTGCGGCTTTTTTTTTATTATTATTATTATTACATTCATTCATTGTACACAAACCTGCAGGTACATTACATGTTTGTAATGAGGCTCTAAATGTCAAACTGTAAAATCACTCATTAGAAATAAAATTACAGAATCAGAAACATACAGAAAAGAAAATGCTTATTTTAGAAGAACTAACAGAATAGTTAGTATTAATGTGCTTGAGTCGGCCTTTGGAACAGAGTGATGGTGTTCAGCCCTTTACATGCAGTTTAAAAGACAGTGGCCTAATCATATTACAGTTATCAGGTGGAGATTATTCATAGAATATCACTGAACTATGTTAAGCAAAGAAATCTGCAGTTCAGCATCTGCATGTGTAAATATAAACATATTTACAAAAGAACAGCACTTAAAATAGTAAAGTACTCACAGAGTACTGGTTTGGCCTACACAAAACATTTGCACAATAAATGCAATATCAGTACATGTCCCAGAATGCAAGTAGTCCCCTTGAAGAACATCAAACACATGTTATAAACTATGAAATAAATCCACTCACATTATAATCTGTGTTTTCATTGGTCCACCTTAAAACGAATGTGTGATTTGGGGTGACTTCTTCTCTGTCAGTATGCAGCACATTTTCAAATAAAGGTGAAAGCAGCATAAAGCCCATAAATGTACCATGAACACTTTCTATCTTTCCAAAAACACACGAAGCATGCTAGAATTAACAACTTTGATACAAATGTCAAGCGAATGTGTTTGGAGAAGGAGCTCAACTTCATAAGTATGACTTCTTATGTAATGCATCTTGTCGTTGTGTTGTTGTAGGCTACTCATGGTCCACTGCTGTCTGTCTCTTCAGCATGCCTCGTTTGGGACTGGATGTCTGTTGTGCACTTTGAAAGATGCAAACACAACAACATAATCAACACCAATAAGCAATGATTATTCCAGAAAGAGAAACTAAAAGACACTGAAACAGATCGCTGCAGTCGGAAGAAAACCTTGTATCTCCAAAATGATAATTTTGCAGGAGAAGGAAAAAACATACTTTACTTTTAATGTAAGTCAATGGAACCAGACTTTTCTCCAAGTAATTTTGGGTCATTTCTTTCAGTTTATTCATCATGAAATTTAAATACAACGTAAAGGTAACAGGTATTTTCAAATCATGTCAAAAACTGAAAAATGTCAAAAATGGAGATATGAAGTTTTCTTCCAAAAAACAGTGAGATATGTATATATACAAAACCCCGATTCCAAAAAAGCTGTGTAAAATGTAAATAAAGGTAAATAAATAACAGAATGCAATGATTTGCAAATCTCATAGACTCGTATTTTATTCACAATAGAACATTGAACACATATCAGATGTTGAAAGTGAGACATTTGACCATTTCATGAAAACAATAACTCATTTAGAACTTGATGGCAGCAACGCATCTTAAAACAAGTTGGGACAGAGGCAACAAAAGGCTGGAAAAGTGAGTGGTACTAATAAAAAACAGCTGGAGGAGCAATTTGCAACTAACTCACATGACTGGGTATAAAAAGAGCATTTTAGAGATGCAGAGTCTCTCAGAAGCAAAGATGGGCAGAGGTTCACCAATCTGCGAAAAACTGTGTCTAAAAATTGTGGACCAATTTCAGAAAAATGTTCCTCAATGTAAAATTGTGAAGACTTTGGATATCCCACCATCTACAGTACATAATATCAAAAGATTCAGAGAATCTGGAGAAATCCCTGTAAGCAAGGGACAAGGCCAATGGTCAATATTGCTCTTGATCTTCGGGCCCTCAGGCAGCACTGCATTGAAAACAGGCATGATTCACTGGAAATCACTGCGTGGGCTCAGGAACACTTCCAGAAATCATTGTCTATGAACACAGTTTGTCATGCAATCCACCAATACAATTAAAGCTGTATCATGCAAAGAAGAAGCCATATGTTAACATGATCCAGAAATGTCTATTCTAGCATCTATTCTAGCACAAACACACTTATTGCCAAGGTTAATGGTTTTAAACAATGTGCTTCGGTGCAACCAGCAAAGCATGTTGGGGTGCCCAAACCTTTGTATATGACTGTATGTAGTGGAATAATTGCATCTATGTGTTTCACCTTAATTCTCCTGTAGAGGGGTTTTTAAATTCTATGGGCCCTTCCATGGATTTTTGTTTCCAGTAGTGGGAAGATTGGCAGGAGTACCTAACACCAAAACACAGCAAGAAAAAATGAAAATCAAAGTTGTTTTTGGGCTGATGACATACTATTGATTTCTCACAGTGGTCAGTAGAAAGAAGCTGGCAAACAAATTGCTCAAATAATGTGAAATGAAAGGGCCACATACACAGACCAATTTAGAGTCTGATAATGCTTGATGTCCATTAAAATGTTCAATCAACGTAATGTTTATCAAATAATGGGAACAAATTTGTACAAAACATTTAAAAAAAGAAAAGTAGTGCCATTTAGGACAGAAATGGGCAGATTTGGCAGCTTGTTAGCACAAAGAGTCTACAGGCCTACTAAAATCCTCTACCAGACACTTGGGTAGATAAATACTAATAGTGTAATTACTTAATGGTTCATCTGAACATTTTTGCTCTATTCTAAATGTGAAATGTCCTGACATTCTCCCAAAGTAAAGCATGCATTTAGCTACTCTTGTAGCTACTCCTAACTCCACTTAAAGCGATGGCTTGGTCACATTTGCTCAATTGTTCTGTTATCCCACAGGCAGACAATCAGTTTGTTTGTTCCTTCAGTTTCTCAGTTAAAATATGAGGCCCATATACCAACAAGTGGCTTATGGAAAGCGTCTACCCACCAGTTTAGCTTTGTGCAAATTGCATTTCTAAATCATCACACAAACAGTGTTGAACTGTTGCAAAATCTCAAATTAACTTGCTTATGTGGTTTCTGAATTTGTAGGTCAATCTATGAAAGGGAACAAAAATAAGGCTTAATTCAGGCTGCTACTACTGTGTGCTTTAGCTATGCAACATAGTTTTGCTCATTTTGTTAGATAAGACAGTATCATACAGTGTCAGAAAACATGGTGTGAGGTGAGTGTGTGATTATTAGGTGTGTAATTTGCACAATGAAGCTTTCAATACCTGTTAGTTACATTAGCCTTGTAGCTCCAGTAGAAAGCTAAAGAAACACATTTCAAACTGCGTAACATGTGTTGGCTGATCAACTACATTTAGGGTAAGGGCAGAAATGTATAAATTAGACCTTTATCTGAACCACTGGTTAAAATACAATTATAGCATGTTTATAAGTGAGTGATCATGCCATAACCAGCAAGATAATTCAAGGTTTTCCTTTCATGTTACAGGTCTTCAGTAGACTTTGCCGCTGTTACTCAGGCATCATATTACTCCGTTGCCACATACTGAGAAACAAATTGATGTCACAGTTGCAACAAGAAAGACAAAGGTTTTTTCAGGGGCTGTAATAGTGTAACACTCCTTCAAGCTATCCATATCACCAACTATTATGGGTTGGATATTGATGTAATGTTTATTTATAGAACTTGATGGCAAACTTGAATATAACTTAAAACTTAACTGATTTTTTTTACTTTTTGGTTCCACTAAATTCATGAAACACAGTTTATATGTCATTACTGTTGGAGGAACACTCTACACTGTGTGAAAATTTCACGATGAATGAACCAGTAGAAATGGTTCAAAATTACTTAGCAATCTTTTTTACATAAACTTACTGTAGAAGTTAAGATTTTTTAAAGTTTTTTTTTTCTTCTCCTAAAAAGTTACCATTTGGAGAGGTTTTGCTCTGTGAAATGCTTCATGTGAAGGGTGAAAATATGTTAAATGAAAGCTGACATTACCCTGGCTGTGCTGTATTCCCATGCTGAGGCCTGGACATTGAGAGGAAGTGCTGCTGTTGGTTACTAGTAGTGGAACAAAGAGGGAGAGAAAAGGGAAAGTCCAAATGTTATAGTTGCATAAGTCATTCGCAGTGCACACTTGTGATTGCTACTGTGTGCAACAGAATCATTCCGCATTACAACCTCCATGTACCCCTCCCAACTATGGTATTTTAATAGACCGAGCAATTTTAAGATAGCATGCGACACAGTATACCAGCCTACAGTACATCATTTCTCCACATATTTAAAACATTTTGATGCTTGTTGACTAGTGTGACTGCCTTATTCAATTGCCCTCCTAAATAAATCTTAACCTATCAGCACAATCTTTCTCATGTGCAATTGGACTGTAGCTCATCCATTGCTACAGTTTGTTAGCCACACTCTAGCCTTTCTCACCCCAGAGCTGCTCTTGGCTGGACATTTTGGGTGAGGGACCACTTTCAACCTAGCAATGATGCCCCAGCATGTGAAAAAACCCAGCAACACCACTGATACCACAATGCACAAGCACTACCCTGCTTCTGAAAGGGAGGTGTTTCTCATAAAGTAGAAGGTGAGTATACAATACATAAAATTGCAATACATTTTTAGACAACATAATTCATATAATATATAAATAATAATAATGATACATAAATGTCAGTGCTCAGTAGGGTATTCTTAAAGGAATGGTACACCAAAAATCAGAATTCCTAAACCTCAACTGTAGTTGTTCAGCCAAGACATGAACTTTGCTTCTTTAGTTTTGCACTGGATCAGCGAGGTTAATATAAGTCTTTGACTTATTTGGGCCGACATAGCCTTATTTTGAGGGACAGACTTATTTTGGGTGACATAGACTTCCATTACTTGTTAGCTACATTAGCCTTGCAGCTCCACTGCAAAACAACTGAAACAAACTTCGGACACTTTGATTTTTCAGTGGATCATTCTTTTAATCTGTACCCAGAAACCCAATTCTAGAGGTTGTAAATTCAGCTATTTATTCACAGTTTGTTCACAAACAATAGCTATTCTCAAGATGTTAGCATGACACAAACTCTTACCTCATGTTCTCAGAGTGGAGGCTTTGTCACGATTTGATGTTTTAGAAGATTGAAAAACACACCGAGCTTCCTCGTTCAACAGTTAATCTCCACGGTGTTTCTCAACGAACTCTCACTTAGATATTCACTCTTCACAAGTGTGTTAGAGAACTTGTTTGGAGATCATGTGTGTCGTTTTGCTGACGTCTTTCTGTACCTGTTAAACCTGATACACTTGTTTCTATGCCAGCTGCAAGAAGGAGGATTCTGCAATCCATTTTGAACCACTTAAACAATACACCACTGCCAGCCTTAGAATATACAAATACACATGGGAACATTTCACTGTTGGATTATTAAACTCTTTAATTCTAATGCAATCATTTACACCAATGGTTCTGAACCTTGGTCTTGGAGTACTCCTTGTGCACATTTTCGTGTTTTCCCTGCTCCTAAAACACACTTGTTCCAACTAATCTGCTAATGAACAAACTCTTCTTGAGGTGAAGTGAGCGTGTTACAGCAGGAAAACAAAATTGTGCAGGCCAGGGGGTAGTCCAGGACCAAGGTTGGGAGCCTGTGAATTACACTGTTCTTTATGTTAAATTACTATATTTCTCTCAAATTGTAGGAGTCAAAATAGTTTTCAACTCAAAAGATTCTTCTGAGTGTATTAGAGCTGGAGGATACAAGGGCAAGCTGAAGTACAATGGAGAGGGAACTGAGGAAGAACCCAGGCAACCTACAGTGTTAAGTTGTGCTTTGAGGCCTCAAAGTCCCCAGATTAATCATAAAATCTTCACTCCACGCCAAGACGAGTTCTTTGAAAGTGCTGCAGTTTTAAAGCCATTACTAGAAAATCAGATTCCAGTGTGTTCTCTACTTAAACACATAAGCCAAGTTAAAAACTTGTTGCAGTAGAACAGGAAGAACAGAAAATGTGTGCTGCAGGGGTATTTCACTACCAGGACCAGAAAACACTGGTTTAGAGTGGGCTAGATGTCAGTGAAACTGTGAATGGAATCAGGGAGTTTGTTGGTAGACATTGTGAAAAACTGCACAGTCATACATGCACAAAATAGCCCAACTAAGTGCTTCTAATGTGAAAGCTGAACTAAATCAAGAGGTTTATGTAAGTTGTAAGTTTAAATACTAGTTCTTGTGTATTACATGCACAGCAGCATAGTTGATATTAAAAGGCATTGAAAACTGAATGTTCCTTGCTTTTCTTAGTAAAATAGTTTGATGTAGTGTGTTAACATGGTACCAGTCACTGCCCAATCTGTGTAGTCCTGTATGAAGAATAAGCTGCAAAAACAACCTTAGCCCATATCATGGAAAACAAAATGATCTTGCTGTTTTGAAACAAGAGAGTATGATCTAGTACAGGCATGTCAAACTAGGGACCTTCCAGGCCAAAGTGCTGTAGATGTTAGCATTTACCCTCATCTAATGCTCTGAATTCAGTTCATGAAGGCCTTGCTAATTAGCTAATGACCTGAATCAGGTGTGTTTAACTAGGTAGTGTGCTGAAGTCTGCAGTGTTTTGGCCTGCTAGGGCTGGAGCCTGACACATGTGATCTAGTATATAAACTTTGATAAAGTTTAAAGTATACCATATATATATATATATATATGGTATATATATATATACACTCTGAGAACATATATATCATGTTCTCAGAGTGGAGACTTTGTGATACACACACACATATATACATATATACAGACACACATATATATATATATATATATATATATATATATATATATATATATATATATATATATATATATATGAGATACAGTAACAAACCTCTTTAATTCTAAGGGAAAAAGAGAAGTTGGTAAAGAAAAATGTAGGATATGCGCCCTTTAACTACAACATGAACTGCCTCCTTCATGATGCACCTACGTATGAGTTTTCCTCCTCTATAAAAAACACACTGCCATGCTTTCTAAAGCTGACATGATGCTATTCCTCTTTTACAGTCTAGCTGCAGTAGCAAGGCAATTATACAAAAATGCTGGGCTTCAAGCCTTCCTTTTTATGGCTGTACATAAAAATAGAACCATACTGAAATGTGTTTGCATAACATGCATAATTGTCAGTACCCCGCATCATTAATAATCTCACACATGCTCCAAGTGGCTGGCATGTAAGATGATATCATTACTGTAGATAAGAATGACTGTTGTGCTGCACCTGTAATGGTACATCCCACCTTGTAAAAACCCCTGCTGAACTACTGCTATCTGCCTCCAGCTTCATGTGTCAATGAAATATGTAACTAGAAAGCTATTTTTGAAGTTTGGGTAAAGGTGAACACACTCATGCCAAGACCTGTTATACTGTCACTGTCCAATGAAAAACAAGTATCTCCAAAATAGTAACTTTATAGGAGAAGGCAAAAACTCTCTTACCTTTCAATGTAAGTGAATGTAAAGAGATTTTGTTCCATGCGATTTTAGAGCATTTCTATTGGTCCATGCATTATGAAATTTTTCCACAACATAAAGGGCAGCTGGTGTGTTGAAATGAAAACTGAAAATGAACAAAAATGGAGATACATGGTTTTCATTGGACAGCGACGATATTCTAGTCTGTATTTTGCAAATAAGTGTGGTCTGATTGTTCCCCTTGTAAGTGTGTAATAGGCAAAGCTCATGTAGCATATAGGAAAGGCAATCTGCTGTTTATGTACACTACCATGCAAAAGTTTGGAATCATTTGCCGTAATTACCTGGGGTACACAATCAGAATAGGCAGATTTTTGCTCTCAACACAAAATCGTTGTGCATTGTTTTTATTTTTACAGATCTGTGTCACTATTTCACATTGTAATTAGCATGAGGCAGGTAAGAGCTGTACACGTGTTGTATTTGAATGCTGTTGCTACACCTGCACCAAAATGTTGTAGCATAATTTTCCATGACTTATTGTTCTAAACAAAATTGACTTTTATTTTTGATACAGCATTTTATATTACATGTTATTTAAATAGGCAAATGATTTAAGATGGAAAAATTTAAATAGCCAGTTTGGGCCAGGAAAGAGTAAATAATGTTTATACTGCAACTTTGGACAACATGGATTAAAGATTATTTGCCAAAAGATATGTTTTAGGTCCTCTAGTCAATATTTCAATAGTTCTCTAAGAAATATGCCATTATATGATAAATAATGTACTGCAATTATTTATTTACATGAACACTTGGATCCTTTACTTATGACTTGAGATGAATTCTGGATATTAATTTTGTTAAAATTTTATTCTCAGAGCTAGACAGTTTTCTCTGTCATTTTAGAATCTACTATTGCTCTGTTCATTATTACAGACATCCTAACATTTCTTCATATTAAGTTACTTAATTTCTCCCAAACTGAGGTTATATAATTGAAGACCTTGTTTCCAAATTTTCAAACAGTGACCCAAAATTTTGAACGGTAGTGTATTCCAAAATTTAAATTTTACATTTTTGTATGGGTTGTTCCCACTAGTCAAAAGGATAAGCGGTTTAGAAAATGTGTGTGCGTACATGGGTTGTCTCTGGGTACTGTAATGAAGCCACAGCTTAAAACCCTTCCATTAAAGTCCCTCACAGACAGAACACTTAAAACTATGTCGCAGTCGCAACACATTTGAACACTCTTGGTCAATTTACATGTTTTGTTTAATATTCTAAATAATAATAAGTTAAACATCCTCTACACAGAACACACTTCAATGTAATTTTTCTGCTAATTTTAGTGCATTATTTCTATTTATTTGTTGAGTTTAACACATTGGAAAAAAATGAAAACATAAAATTACGTTATTGTAAACGTACCATAATTTTTGCACAGGCCACATTTTATGTATAACCTATTTTCCAATATGTTAAATTCAGCAAATAAATAGTAATTATGCAATAAAATGTGCATTTAAATGTTCTTTATAGGGGACGTGTTGACTTATTTCACTTAGAAATTCAACACAACATGTAATTTGACAAGGGGTGTCCAAACTTTTGCATACAACTGTACATATTATACATTTAGTAAAAGCTTTTTATGATTCAAAAGATTATCACTTTTATACCTGAGCAATTCTTGTTGGGCCTCTCCATACATGCACTGCTGTACTGGAAATATTGAGTGTCTATTCAGTTGATCTTTTGGTAATTTTGCAGAAAATCTTGTGAATGAAGACTATATACTATATAACAAACAGTGTCTCGTTGTTACACAATATACACTTATTTTTTCCATTAGATCATTCAACTATGAGCATAAAATCCATAAAATGAGTATTTTGATGGCTTGCGTAAGAGTCTATCTCTTATAAGTCGCTGGCGACAACATCAGAACAGAGGAACCAGCAAAAGTGCAAACTGTCCTAAGCTCTGCATTTGCATGTGAAGTTATTATAACATTTTATTGTTGTTATATTAGATATGCTACTTAAAATAATTTGAAACAAGTAGCAGGGTGTGGCTTTGCAGCCTCACTGCTCAGGATCTCAGACTCCTACAAAAACTGTCAGAATTGCTTCCAAAATCAGAGGCACTGACCTCCCCCATAAAAAAAAGTACATTTATGCATCCCGATGCCAGGCGAGGGCTCAGTCCATCATCTCAGATGCCTCCTACCCAGCTCATGTCCTGTCCTACCATTTTTCCTCTGGTAAATTCTTCTGAAGCATCACAGTGCACACCATCCACCACAGAAACAGCTTCTCCTCCCAGGTCATCAGTGCTCTTAACGGTTAACACTGATTGACTCAATCTCCCTATTTGTATTGTGTATATTGCAACGTGCACTGTTTTTTCTACTGCACTATATTGTACATGTTGTAGCTCAGTCTAGCTAGTAAAGTGTTACATTACATGTTTATATCATACTGTGTTTTGACAGATTATATATGCTGCAGAGTTACACTGTATTATTAAATAGTTTACTGTTTACCATGTTACCCCACATGTGGTCTCTTACGTTGTATTATTCTACACATAGTACTAAATTGTACACACTGTATCTTCACAGTGTTATGTTATAGCTGACATCTACCTTATTCCTTATCGCCAGTCCCCTGTAATGTTTGGTGCAATATCTGTAACTGTTGTTGTGCTGTTGTAGTAAAGAAATTTCACTGTGTTTTTGAATGCCCTGTATTCTGAGTACATATGACAATAAACCAGTCTTGAATCTTGAAAGGGAGTAATGGCCTTCAGCATTGGGCAGAGAAGTCTGATAAATCTGCAGGCAATAGTTGGCTGTACAGAATGCACTGGAGGGCCTAAAACAGTTGCTTGGGACCAGATTGTGTCAGATTCCTACCTTTCAGGCTGAAAATGTCCCCTTAAAACTTCCCATCCTGTTGGATCTAATGGCCAGGAACCTCGTTCACTAGACCAGAGCAGAAGCTGTCGACTAAATCCTCAGGGCCCTGCCAAACAGTCTTGTTTCCAACACACCTGAAGGCAGGTACAGAGCATTTTGCAGCACCTTGATGTGCAAGCAACTGGAACCGAACAAAAATGCACTATCCTGAGAACCTGAGGGGAGGAACAAAAAACGATCACGATTCATAAAAAAACAAAAAACAGATACACAGTCTACAGCATTTGCAGCACCAGCACTTATGTAGGCAACAGGCCCCATGACAAATCAGTACTGCTGCAGTGAGAACTGGCAATGTGAAAATACCAGACTGTTAGGCAGGAATTTACCACAGACTCCAGTCAACAGCAGCCAAGGGACAGGGGACTGCATAGATGTCTACTTAATAAAGATGTTACAGTATCAAAAATTGGAAAAGTGTACATTCAGAAAAGTGAATTCACATTAAATACTGTGTCACTGATACGTCCCTCGCTCTGATTTCTCTCATTTGCCATCTTTCTTGGAAACCATGAAATGTGAAAAAACAAACAGTAATATCTCATTAATGCTTGGTTTCAGATTTTCATATATTTTAATTGTGGTATTGTGACATACTGATATTTAAATTGAAAAAAGTAGAGTTGAAAATGCAGGCTTGCTGTGCAAGGTCTTATATGAGAGACTTCCTCTTTTTGTACCTAGTTGCACATTATAAAATCCTTATTTTGCCCAAGGACATACAACATTACAATCTGAAATAAAATGTATTTTTGTGCCAAATGAAGCTGTGGAGTACACTATATTGCCAACAGTATTCATCTGCCTTCACACGCATATGAACTTGAGTGACATCCCATTCTTAATCCATTGGGTTTAATATGATGTTGACCATTCTTCCAGAAGCGCATTTGTGAGGTCAGACACTGATGTTGGACGAGAAGGCCTGGCTCACATTTTTTGTTATAGTTTACTGTGGAATATTTAGTAGCGAGGAAATTTCACGACTGGACTTGTTGCACAGGTGGCGTCCTATCACGGTAGCACGCTGGAATTCACTGAGCTCCTGAGAGCGACCCATTCTTTCACAAATGTTTGTAGAAGCAGTCCGCATTCCTAGGTGCTTGGTTTTATACACCTGTGGCCATGGAAGTGATTGGAACACCTGAATTCAATGATTTGGATGGGTGAGTGAATACTTTTGGCAATATAGTGTGTGTGTGTGTATATATATATATATATATATATATATATATATATATATATATAAATATATATATATATATATATATATATATATGTATATATAATTTGTAACAAAATGTGAACAAAACAACTATATAAATATTGACAACACATTTCAGTCTTCTATCCAGCTTAGGTCTTTCACATGAAGTGGAAACATTTCCTCCAGAAAGGGATGTGATCATGCATCAGGGGATTCTCCCAGTCGAGCAAGTGAAGTGAACAAAAACACTTCACACTGACATTTACCAAAGTCACCTCAAGAGCCGGTGTAAGTGTCTATTGCAGAGTAAACCAGTCAGAGACAGACTACACGTTGGCCACGGTGTAAAACAGAACGACGAGGACGAGGGTCTCTCTGTTTATATCATCATAACCATTGCTCACGACAGCAGTGAACTACATTTCCCAGCTCTCCCGCGGTACATGAGTTTCACGTACATCCGCTTACGCGCTTAATGGACGCAAATTTGTACCAATTAGAGGCTGCTGGGTCGCAGTTTCTACCAGCGTTTCCAGGAAGTGAAAAATAGGAAAATTATAATCCCTCCTCCCACATGTGAGCCCTCTTTTTGCACCACGCGCCGTCGGTAAGGGACGGAACCGGCAGGGAGGCAACGTCACACCGCGGTCCGGTAAAAACAACGAAGAGGAGCGGCGGAGCCTCTGTGGCAGGTACGGTGGTCGTTTTTTTAAATCGTTTACCCCCCTTAAACCCCTTTACAGACATCGACGTACTCGAGTCGAGTCGGCGCGGAATGGTCGACGAGGCTGGAGTCAGCTTCTTGTTCAGATTTTCCCCTTCCACCTTAAATGGTGCATTCAGGCGCCAGAGTGTAACGGCAACGTCTAAGGAGGAACGGAAGAATTCAAACAAGAAGCTGTAGAATAAGAAGCTTCTTAATGGTCGGCTGGAAATGAGTGGCTTTCCGCTGTTTGCAAGGGCAGCGAGGTAAATTTGCGGGAGTTGGGTGGACTCTAGGGCCCTAGGAGAAGAACCAGAAGAAGAAGGTGGAGCGAAGGGCCTAGATTTGCCCCGCACTGCGTTCTAACACCCTCGGTCGGGGCTTTTTTAGTTCGTCAGGTAACGTTAAGCTTCTCCGCGAGCTACCAAGCTAACTTAACTGCGCCGTTTGAAAAAGAAACGGACACGAACCAGCAGCTGGACTCAGCTCAGGCCCGCTTCAGCGGGATCAGTGTGACGCTTTGAGAACATGTATCTTCTTTATTTTGAGCTTTGCCTTCTGAATGCGGGTGTAATGTAAGGTTAAAATGAGCTTTCGTGCTCCTTTCCCCCTCTTCTTCCTTTTTTTCAGGTGCCGAAGCGATTAACGTTAACTTACAGCAGGGAAGATGGCGGACGACCCGAGCGCCGCGGACAGGAACGTGGAGATCTGGAAAATTAAGAAGCTGATCAAAAGTTTGGAGGCGGCCAGAGGGTATGTAGACATTTCACCCCCTTATTGACGTGTTTACGGCGCAGAACAAACTCGAGGACCTCTCAGTCTCGTTAGCTGGAGGGTTTTAGCCGGTGGACTGACGACGGATGTCCAGCTTGCTAAGTGGCTAGCTAGCTGGTTAGCCGGGCCTTGGGAGGAGTAACGTTAGTTAGAGAAGCCGGCAAACGAGGCGAAGCTCTGCAACTGCGAGGCTCTGTGTTTCTCTGTCTTTCAGCTCATAAAGGCAGCGTATTAGTTTTGGTGTTTTGAGAGTTACCGCCTGTCAGACTTGTCGGTTTGTGTTTGGAAAACGTAACGCTGCCTCCGCCATCCAGCTCCCTAAACTAACCGACAAAGGGCCATAGCGAACGAGGGCTTTACGTTGTTTCTCTTGAAGTTCGTTCACAGGACGGCGCCGTTATAATCATTCATGGTTTCTCTTACTGACGATGGTGCTAATTCAGTTAATGAGCTGTCACGGTCGAGAAATAACTCCGTTATCTCTTACGTTGGTGTTTCTTGTGTCTCTGAGCTGCTGTGTCTAATCACCCTTAACTTCAGGTGCTTTAAAGAGACCTTCATGTTTGGATGGATTTCAGATTCAGATCCACTTATTGTCTTTCCAGAAAATGTACATTTGGAAGGGAATAAAATGAGCTGCTTGGGTCCTGGTTTGGGTAACATCGATACAAACAAATCACACAGTAAACACCATTAAAAATAAAGTAGGCAAATAAGTATGTAATACAAGTGTAAAGTAAGCAGCGTGTGGATGGACAACAAGACAACACCAGACAACCGTCACAAAAAACAACAAAAAAACTTGGCATAAGCTAGCTCTGCTGATCTTACTTGTTTGTGTTATCTAGTTTATCCACCCACACAGATTTATTGTAATATGTTGTAATTTAGATCCAAGGTGTGTGTTTATGCCTAAGTGTCATATGTGATGGTTGATAATGGCACCCGTTCATGCACTGTTGAACACGCCTGCTTATATGCACCCCATGTGTGTAAATGCAATGTCAGCGTGACTGCTTGCATGGCCCATTGTTTTTTTTTGGTCCTTCCAACTTTTCACCTCCTCCTTTAACCTCTTGACAGGTAGTTATGACTGAGGACACAATGTGTCACAACAGGTTAGTCCTTCATTCAAGGACAGCTATTGTTTGTGTGTTTGCCCTTTGAGTGTCGGTAATTTGATACTACACATTTCATTTGATTTCCTGTTTCTTGTGTTTTTGGAAGAGAATAAGAGTTAAGACAGACTGTCACTTTTGGCCTTTGTTAGCCAACTTTTGAGCCATTTTTGAGCATGTAATTGACAGTCTGACTGCCTTGTGTGTGAAAGGAAGCAGTGGAAATGCTGTGGGTCCAAAGCTGACCTTGTATGTGTATGTGTTTGTTGGCACAGATCTGTGTTCTGTTCTCTCCAAATTAACGGACACTGCATTCCCTCTCGTCTGGGGAAGTGATGGCACCAACATGATCCTGTTTGTCCATTCTCAGATTGTGTGAATAACAAACAACGTCTTTGATATCTATCCTCTGTTGTTACAACAGCTGAATCAGTGTTTACTTATACAGCTATCTAAACATGTCAGTCATTATGGCAAAAAATGAAGTTTTGCAAGATTGATTCCCATTTAACTCGCCCAAACCAACATTGTGTGAAGCCCAAACATTGATTTCTATCCATTTTGCGTCTGCTGTAGCTGTACTCTGTAGATTATTCCACCCTGAAGCACCTGTAGCTCCAAAATATCAATGTAACTGTCAGATGTTGACTATCAACAACTAATTGTGCCCACAGCTGTTGAACAAATTAGTGTGTTTGTAGATTAAATTTGGTAGATCTCCATTGCCTCACCGCATATTTTCATTGTGTAAGTGCAAAATACATTACGATGTTGAAATATGGGAAGTGTAGTTGATAGTATTCTATAAAAACAAATGAACTAGAGGTGGTTGGGTGAGTTTTCCTCTATCTCACATGTAATGGCAAATGGTGCACAGGTTTTGAAGATGTCTTGGTGTTCGCACTCTCAGCGGGTTGTTGGACACTATTCACTATTCTTACTGTAGGTATTAAAAATAGTATTACTAATCTGATTGCTAGTTATGACAAGGTTCCCCACTCTCAGCAGCTCAACAGTGAAATGCTACACTGCAAACTGTTATGTGGTGCTAGAAAAATGTTGCTTTGCTCCATACCTCACTGTAACACATTACCTGTAACATTTTTGGAAAATTTGTTGTATTTGCCTGTTCTGTCTACATCGGCTAAAGCAATAGTACACATTAAAAACAGCCATTATCACAATACTGGCCATTGCAAAAGACTGTAATATGAAAATGAGCTCCGGAAGTAATAAATCCATCTTAATCCACTAAAACTGTTTTTGTTCTGAGGATCCTGACCAACCTCAGACCCTCCAGATTAGTGTTTCTGTTGGACTTTGTTGAACGAAGACATGTGCGTGATTCAACAAATGTCTAATAAATTATAGGTGGACATAGAGCAGGCCTATCTTTATGACTATAAGTTATGGTTTTCAATCAAAGTGAAGATTGTGTTTACTTTAATCAAACATTATAGGCAACGGTGATTGTGAACTGTTTACATATTTTTTGTCTAGTTTCAGTCTTCTTGATTCTAATTGGCTGGCTGACTTCTCAGCCAGGTTTGATTAAGAAAGCAGTGGCAACTGCAAGCTTTTACTGAGACGTTGGCCTGGATTTAACTGACATTTTAATTTCATCAGTTTCTGCCTGTCTTTAATCTGTTGTATTCATGCAGCAGTTTCTGTCTGTTTTTGGCCATGTTATAGATGTAAGTGCAATAAATGCTGATTTATTTTTCTGATTGTCACCTGTATTTGTGCCTGAGTTTTTTTCTGTCTGTCTCTTTCTCATTCAGTAATGGGACCAGTATGATTTCATTGATCATCCCTCCTAAGGATCAGATCTCCAGAGTGGCCAAGATGCTGGCTGATGAGTTTGGGACGGCCTCCAATATCAAAAGCAGAGTTAACAGACTGTCAGTGCTGGGAGCCATCACTTCAGTACAGCAGAGACTCAAACTCTACAACAAAGGTGGGTTGTGTACGAGTGAGTTTGTGGTGGTCACTGGTTGGGCTGCTATGGTTTGATTTTTTTTTTTTCTGAGATGTTTTGCAGGTCACTGGGGTGTTTAAGGCTGTTTTTCTCTAGGGGTTAACTTTGGGGGAGTAGTTAAGTTGTAGTAGTTAAGTAAGTTCCATCAACTGCAAGTAGATGGCAGTTGATGGAAATGCAATACTCAAGCTATGTCATTTAATGCAAACGGTAATTTTATTTATAAGCTCAAACAAGTTTATTCTAAGCTTTGTCAGGTATTGTTGAAAAGATTGCAGTGATCAACTTTTCTCTCTTATTTAACCCTTTCCCAATTCAGTTCTAATATTAGTGTCACATTGTGTATGTAAATGTAAATTGTGTTTATGACTGCCTGTTCTTTTCTCAGTGCCCCCTAATGGTCTTGTAGTGTACTGCGGAACCATTGTGACAGAGGAGGGCAAAGAGAAGAAAGTCAACATTGACTTTGAGCCTTTCAAACCCATCAATACCTCGCTCTATCTCTGTGACAACAAATTTCACACTGAGGTAAGTAGTGCAATAGGTGTGTGCTTGTAAAGGAGAGGGAGAGAATGTGTAGAATGTGTGAGTGAGTGTAACTTGCGTGTATGTGAAATGTATGTAAATATGGTAAAATGAGAGATGCAAACTAGTCGCCTTTAAGCACAGTACACACTGCTTGAATCCTGAACTGCTTACCCATGTAACCACATGAATATAAAGAGGAAATGTCTATATGAATAGGCATCTGTAGGCAAATTTCACCTTGACAGTGGTTGTGCACTGTCAAAGTCAGCATTAGCTTTGTCATTACTTCTCACAACAGAAGCATTGAGTAAGGAAAGAAATCCGGTTCCTGCAGGTCAAGGTGTCACATTTAATACTAAAATTGCTGCAGACAACAGTATCAACTCATTTAATATCAACAAACTATAGAAAACACTGTACAATAAACGGTACTATGTAATATACAATAATCTATGCAACCGCTAAATACATGATTGTAGAGACTGGACAGTAGTATGTCTGTGTGTAGGAGTGAGTACTGTCCACTGCAGCAATGACTGTTTAACCCATAATATCAGTGCACACTGATGATTAGTGACAGACCTTCTCTGTATATTGCTAGTTTCATGTAACATGTCATTTGTTAAAAGAAAACAAATGTGGTTGTTAATCTTATTTTCCCCTCCACTTTTTCCATTTGCTGATACTTTAGAGTAGGGCTGCAACTAACAGCTATTTTCATAATCGATTAGTTTGGAACCGTAATCCTGCACGTATTAGTCTGGCGATAGTGTTTCCTTGTATTGAAAAATATAAAGATTATTCTTCCTTTATAAAAACCTGCTCTATCTTGTTATTTACATTTTCATGGGGCTTTTATCATGTGCACAGCAACATAAAAACTATTTTCAAAAAGTGCAGGAACAGTTATGGAACAACACACATTTTACAAGGCTGCTGTTCTGTATAAGATTCTCTAATGATAAGTCAAAGATAAATTAAACAGCTTCTGTGTGGTTGATATCGTGATTAAATTTGATATTACAGATCACTAACAGTCCACTCATCAGCTGTGTCAGACATAGAGACGTAAAGCAGCTCTTCAAGCATGACACTTCAATAAACATGCATGTGATGTCAGTGTTTTCAAATATGTGCGTTTCAGTCCACATTCAAATACTGAAAATATTTTTAAAAAACAGTGACCTAAAGCAGTTTTCGTGTAGACGGGAGGCAAAAACCCAAAGAACGAAACATCTGAGCTGGACTGTGTGCATTAGTTAGCAGCCCTGATAACCGTGTAGTTTAGCCTAACAGTTACAACCAGTTTTGACAAGCAGTTTTAAAATGTAGCTCATTCCTTCAGCTACCATTGCTTTGCTAAAATAAACAGGATCAAATAAAAAGTGACAGTGATGAGCTGTCTTTCACTTTTGACAGCAGTTTTCATAAGATGTTAGTATCCTACAGTGTCGAGTTTGTACTATGGATGCTGTTTATTCTCTCGTGTTTGTGCCTGACAGTCGGTCGCGCTGCCTGTTGTGCTCAGGTTTTTATCACACACGAATCAGTCTTTTTAAATGACATTGACTTGAATTGGTTTTATAGATTTCATTGTTCAACACCCTGAACTGCATATATAATCTTTAACTGCCGTCTGTGCTGTTTGTACTTCCCACTTTCATTCATGTGATGTAAATGTCAGGTGAACTAATCGATAACTCAATTTGTTGCCAACTGTTTATTATAGATGTTATCGATAATGTTGATTAGTTGTTGCAGCTCTGCTTTAGAGCAACATATGCTATTGCTGATTGGCTGGTGAGGACTCATTTAATCAATTAAGATGACAAAATGATTATTCTATATAATATAGAATCAGTAAAAGGGTGGCTGTGATCTTGATCAACAAATAAGACATGTAGTTGTTCGATTTGAATGTAGTGGTGCCAGAAGTTGTTTCACAGAAAATGGCTGTGCTTAAACTTATTTGATAAGAGCTTGTTCAGTTGACGCCCTCTACTGATTCAGTGAATAAGCATGTTAGTCTAGAGTTAATATACATTTTACCTCCAGCAGTTTTCTGGTGTGTGCTTTTTGCATTAAAGCTCAAGCTATACAGAACTATAACAACGCAAAGTCATGCCGCCTTGTCCCTGTGCTGTTATCATTCTTATCTGTTTATGGACACTCATGAATGAGTTCACCCTCAGGAGTCAACGCCTATGGTGGGACTCCAGTCAGGTTATGTAGTCAGAAGCAGTCCAAGATGTGAAGCTCACTTATTTGTTTTAACAGAGAACAATCTACAGAGAAAGAAGCCTCAAATTGTAAGGGAGCTTGTTTACAATAGACATCAATTGTATGTGCAAATGCAAAATACATGTATGCAATATTGTCTTAAAGACAAAAAATAGGTAACAGCTGACATGCAAAGTTGTTCTTCAAACATAGCAGTGCAGTGCAAAAAGTAATTTTTTGATACTTTAGTCCTGAAAATCACACTTTTGTTTCTTTTTGCTCTTTGCTTAATTAATGCTTTGAGGATAATGTGCCAAATCTTGATGCTCCTCTCTTGGCTTTTGACAGCTAGAACCTTTCTCCATGGCTGTGTTACCAGCTGTGTTCAGCTGTTTCAGGGACAGCAGGGGCTTCTTCATACAGTTTTAGTCCCCTGACCTTTTCACCCCTATCAGTTTGTCTCCTTGTGTTTTGGCAGTATACACAATTGTTTGAGTTTTACACACACTGTCAGCTCATAACATTATTTCTTTCTCTTTCTTCCCTCTTGTAGGCTCTGACGGCGTTGTTGTCAGATGACAGCAAGTTTGGCTTCATAGTGATCGATGGTAGTGGGGCACTATTCGGGACCTTACAGGGAAACACTAGAGAAGTGCTGCACAAATTTACAGTGGACCTTCCCAAAAAACACGGTACTAAAAACACACACCAACGTGCACACAGATATAGTGTGCTCTGCAGAACTAAATTGTAATTGATCTGGCAGCAGTGTCATATTCCTGCAATGGCTCTTTCCTCCACTTACTTTGATCAGTAAAACCTTGTTGATCAGAATAGCCAAGCTGATTCTCTCCTCTCTCTGTCTCTCAGGTCGAGGAGGGCAGTCTGCGCTGCGTTTTGCCAGGTTGAGAATGGAGAAGAGACATAACTACGTGCGTAAAGTGGCTGAGACAGCAGTGCAGCTTTTTGTGTCAAACGATAAGGTCAATGTGGCTGGCATGGTGCTGGCTGGATCTGCAGACTTCAAAACTGAACTCAGCCAGTCCGACATGTTCGATCCGGTAAGAGTGTAGATCATTTGGTTATGCCTGCCGAGTTCCGGGTTTACTGTAGAGTTCCTACAAATGTTTCTATGCAGGCATTTTAGCTCATTGAGCAAACTTATTTCATATTTAACTCCAGTCTCATGAAGCGTGTTCAATTTGGATATAATTTCAGCTTCACAAAACTTAACAAATGCAACTGCAGTTAACTTGGTCTAAGAGTGAAAGCTGTCAGACGCCTTTATAGAACATGTTTAGGTACAAAAGCTGTGATTAATGCTCATACACATGCACATGGATGCATGATGTTCATGAGGAACAGCCAATCTCTTGAAACATTGAATCATGTAGGTTTTTTCGAAGAAGGAAATATAAATCATTCTGTGTGAAATTGTTGAAGCATTTATAAAAGTAAAGCATTTATGAAAAGCACTGTCATTGACATTTCCACTGTTAGTGCTTTTCGGAGTAATGATTGCTTAATATTCTTGATATTTAAGTTTTCTGTGTGAAAAGCAATATTTTCTCCACATGATCAACAGCACAAATATCACAAAAAGAATTGACCTGAAAGGGACTCCAGGGGTCCATTTCCATTAGGCGGCTGTCATGGTGCTGGTAAAAAGTGATCACTATTGTGAGACGGATCTGAACTAAGCTTTTTTTTTTTCTGTTTTTTTGTTTCACTTGTGCAAAACTCAGTGTTTACTCTTCTTTCTTTTCTCAGTGCCCTTGTTTTCCTGTTGGCTAGTTTCTGTGTTTCTCTCTTTGAATGGCTACCATCTTGTGGGTTTTTTTTTTTATATATAATTCCCAGCCCCTTCCTGAGGGTCATGTGCATTAGCTTTAGTTCTCTTGGGCTTTTGTGCAGTCATATTTGATTTGTGAACTATTCCGTTCCACCTCTTTTATTGCCACCCGTGGAAACCTGGCCCTGTGGGTCATCTCTTTACTCACTATCAGATCAATAAATCATTTGAACTTTGTGGGGTCATATAATCTACTTTGCCCTTCCTAAAATCCTCTGACTCTTCATCCTGCTGTATCGTACCTAGCAAAGAAGCTAAGGTCTGTGTCCTTTACCTCCTCCTAGCTTAGCCACGTGCTTCACTTTGTGGACCAGAATCTCTTAGGGAAACAGCTCTTGCTGTTCACGTTGAGGCCTACAAACCTCACCTCAGCATGTGCAGTGATTCTATAAAAACAGCCAGATCCTCTAAAATGCAGGTTCTCTAACCTCAAGGGGAACTTCAGCAGTCATCCCACTTTTGTCCTTCACCCCACATAATGAAAATCATTTTCCTTCTCTGAACTTCTGAATTTCTGCATCTAGTGCATCTGTGAAGGAGTCACTGATTATTTAACTCTGTTCACCTCATTCGGCTCTGAGCCACGTTTGAACTTGAAGATCATCCACCTTTTTATTACTTGCAAATAATCCTATGTGATCTCTCACTAAAGTTAAGTAAATTCATCCCCCTCGTTGATCTCACTGCACTTATCCAGGTGACTTTTGCTGACAAACCAGTGGCCCTTTCAGTTGAGCCTAGGGTCTTCTACATTCTTTGTAGACACAGGTGCTGCATTTCACAAATTAATTCAGCACATCACTCTGCCAGTCCTGAAGGGACACTTGCAAATACAGGGTGCTGTCCCAAACTGTGGTCACCATAGTGTTTCTTTTAGAAAAGCTCTCACTTGTGAAGCTATAGTTTGGCAAAAAAAATCAGATTTGTGAAAATGTAGTTGATCACCAGAGACATGTTTGGTGTCTGAACTTTGTGACATGCCAAATTCATCAAATACTTGGCTCAAACCTTGTCAAGCTGTTAAATAATCTCAGTTTGTTTATGTATTTCTAATAAAAATCAAAATATGTTGCATAGCTAAGAACAGTAGTATCAACCATCTTCATGTGTTTGTCTTCATGATTTGTCTGTGTGTGTGCATGTGATTGGTTACAGAGGTTACAGGCGAAGGTTTTAAAGCTGGTGGATATCTCTTATGGTGGAGAGAATGGTTTCAACCAGGCCATTGAGCTATCAGCTGAGGTCCTTTCCAATGTCAAATTCATTCAAGAGAAGAAGCTAATAGGTGAGTATATGTGTGTACATGCATGTACATGTAAGTATCTGCATGCAGATGCTTTAATGATGTGATTGCATTTGTGTGTAAATTGCAAGAGAAGGATATCACTAGTAAACAAACTGGACTTTTGTTTAAAGCCAATGAGAAAGGCAGCAGTGCTTTATTTCGGTTCTTAGTTTGATTCAGATATTGATGTTGACACTGAATAGCCTGCCTGCTTTGATTAGCTGGTTGATGACTCCTTCCTCTCCCTCAGGTCGCTATTTTGATGAGATAAGCCAGGACACGGGCAAGTACTGTTTTGGTGTGGAGGACACACTGAAGGCATTGGAGATGGGGGCAGTGGAGATCCTCATTGTTTACGAGAACCTGGACACCATGAGATACATCCTACGAGTACATGGGGCAGAGGGAAACGGAGCAGAGAATGGTATTTACACACACCAGAGTGCATACACAGACCCACATACTAGGAGATTAATTCTGTGGGTACAACAAACAAAAAAGCCACACTTCCCCACACATTAAGCCTAAAGTACATCAGCATGTACACATACTGTGAGTACATCAAAGAATGCTACTTACTATGAGTACCCCGTGCATTGAAAGAACTGAATTGAAATGTACACACACGTTTATTCCACAAGTACACTAAACAATAAATAACATTAGATGCATCATAAGATATACAGAAAGGAACACTTACAGACTAGAGATGCACTGATACCGCTTTTCCTTTCTAATACTGATACCTGTTCCTTTAGATTAACTCTGTCTAACTAGCTCATAAGTCCTAGAATTTATATGGTTCCACTGTTTTAATATTTTATTTTGGTAAAAGCTTGGTAAGAGCTTTCTTTGGAAGTCCACAGTAGCCAGGGCTAATGGAGACACAGGCCCTGCTAGCGGGCTGCTAAACTGAAGCAAAAGGCTCTCATTGCCCCAAGAGACCAGCGGCTCCTTCCTTTACATTCACTCCTGCAATAACACACTGGACTACCGTTAACCTGGCAGATGAGTAATGACTGAAAGAAGCCTGACTCAGCCGTTGAGGCAAGCAGCTCCTGTTAGCATATTTTGCACTGTTTGTACATTAAGTGGTGTATTTGTGACAGAGCAGTAAAACCAGTAGCTCAGGAAGAGTTCCAACTGGTAGAGCATCCACTACTACTGGTTTTCTGTGAAATATTAGCGTTACAGATTTTGTTCTGAGCATGTCACTGCTGCTTGCCAACCTACACCGCTGATGTGTTGTTAGGTTCCGTCTGAGAACCCACTAGGTAATTAGCTACACGTCTACTGCAGAAATTGCTTTATGGTATCGGTCATAGGTATCTGTACCCCCATGGTGTCAGTATTGGTGCAACTCTATTAAGGAATGAATGTGAGTTGCTGTCTATTTACAGTGTACAGAAAACGATTCACATGCACTAAGAGATAAATACACTGAGTCAAAAAGGATGGAGCAAAGAGCAATACGTGAACAGCAAGGTATTTTTTTGAGACTGAGTAGAGTGAGTTGCCTGAGCACCATATCAGCCAGCTGTCAGGTGTCTGCTCAGTGGTGTCTTGCTTGCATTCCTGACCCTGACCTAGTTTATTGCTGGCCATGTACAGAATGACTGTACCCTTATTATAGGTATAATTGGAAAAGTCATTTAGCAAACATAAGCGAATGCTAAACTATATTGTCAGTGTTTCAGCCGAGTGTTCACGTATGGAAATTGTTTTTGCATTGAGAAGAAAAATAAGAAACCTTTCTGAGGCTTGAACATTGAGTTAATTTGTCTTCTCCCAAAACATATTATTTAATTCTTTTGTAACACTGTATCTGTGAAACATCAGTGAAACTCATCTCATGGATAGTTTTACTCGCTCTTACTTTACTCACTCGTATTTACATTTGTTTCAGATGAGAAGACCATATATTTGACACCTGAGCAGGAGAAGGATAAGTCTCACTTCACAGACAAAGAGGTGTGTGTGTGTCTGTGTGTGTGTGTGTGTATATGTGTGTCTGCATTTGTTCTAGAGCAGATCTATGTAAAAGGTCATATTTTGTTACGAAAGCTTGCACCTGTCCGTACAATTACATGCCCATGCAAGACGAGCTGTGTTCTTGGAAAAGAACCATGTTAGTCAAGTCGAGGCTTTTATTGTCATTCCAACTAAGTTCAAGTACACAGTGGAGCGAAATTACGTTCCTCCAGGAACAAGGTGCAACAAGGAACAAAAAGTACAAAATTACAAAGTGAGAACATGCAGACAGTGTGCAAACTAAAATTAAGCTAGAAACAATACAATAAATACGGTAAATTAAACAGACATTAGACACAGTAAACAGACCAGACAGTGTAGCACCAACACAGCACAGATTTCTGGACATGAGGTAGTGGAATAAGGTGCAGACATATTTAACATGATGTGATCTGTAAGTTACGTCAGATAACATACATATAAACAGCAGTTACTGAGGAAAAGAGGTGTGTATGGGTGTTATTTCAGTCCTTGTGAGTTTAAAAACCTGATTGCTTGAGGGACAAAGCTGTTGCAGAGTCTGGCAGTGATGGCACGGATGCTCCGGTACCTTCTCCCAGACGGCAGCAGTGAAAAAAGTCTGTGTGAGGAAAGGATGGGGTCGTTCACGATGCTGGTGGCTTTGCGGATGCAGCGTGTGGTGTAAATGACCATGATGGAGGGGAGAGAGACCCCGATGATCTTCTCAGCTGTCCTCACTATGCGCTGTAGGGTCTTGCGGTCGGAGGCGGTGCAGTTCCCACTTTTTTGGTCGGGTTACATGACAGATAATAGACAAACAGCAAAAAAGCACCGTTTTTCTGTTCCCGAAGTGGCCGCTGCAGCTACTCGCCGCCCCGCCGGAACTGGAACCATGTTCTTTTTCAAGAGAGGAAAAACAGTGCCAATTAAATAGAGCTTTCTTTACTTCTGTATGTTGTTATGGTACCTTCAATTTAACATTTGTTTGTATCTCAGACAGGGCAGGAGCATGAACTGATCGAGTGTATGCCACTCTTGGAGTGGTTTGCTAATAACTATAAGAAATTTGGAGCCACGCTGGAGATCGTCACGGACAAGAGTCAGGAGGGTTCACAGTTCGTCAAGGGCTTTGGAGGAATTGGGGGTGAGCATCCTAGCCTGTGAATTCACCTATTAGTGTGCATAAGGCAAAACTCACTTGGGCATTCTAAGCAGTTTATTTTAGTCTTTTTTTTTCACTCTGAATTTTAAATGGCTAACTCCTCTTTGACTGCTTATTATGATATTATAGATTGGTATATGTCTAAATTTTATCTGTCATGGTATACTACAAATGTTAATTATAGGGTAAGCATAAAGTGCTTCTCTAACTTAGTTACTACTTTTGATGTATAAACAAAAGTTAACAATGTTTGTAACAAAGTTAAGCTAAATCTGGCTTGTTGTGGTATATGATGACAGGCTACTAGTATGTAAATTACTGAGAATGACCATGCAGATCAACTCGGATACCGAAAGCCATTTCATAGCTTCCAGTGACAAATGTGACCTAATTTGCTAACAGCTAGCAATCTAGCTGTTTGCTAACACTAATTACAGCACAGACGTTGTAGAGTAGCAGCAAGCAATTTCAGTAAATGCAAGTTGATTCTTGCCGTTTAGTAGTAGCGTAGTTTGCCAAAAGTGATAGCATAGTATAACCAATGTAGTGAGTAGAAGGAGTGGGGTTGGGAGGGTAAGAGTATGTCAGACTAGTGTGTGTGTGTGGTTTAAATTTACACAGTCATGCATATTCATAGCTTTTTGCAATCTTGATGGTGATAAAGGTGATAAAGATGCTCCTAGGCCATTTTAGTAGTCTCTTGGGCTTATATGTATTTAACCACTTATTACTCTTATGCCTTTAAAAGATATTTAAATTGGATGAGCTTTGGATGAAAACAATGACTTAGAGCTCTTCCACTGAAGATATGCAAGAGCTTGTAAAGCTAGTAACCCCTGAATTATTAAAAAGAAGGCCATCACTACATGCATGCTTTCTCTGTGACTTACTGAGTGTATTTTCTGTCTCTCTCAGGTATCTTGCGGTACAGAGTGGATTTCCAAGGGATGGAATACCAAGGAGAGGATGACGAGTTTTTCGATTTGGATGACTACTAGGTAGTCGGGAACTGAAATAGGAAGAAAAACGAAAAGAAAGAATGAATGAAGAAATATGGAAAGAAATGCGTATTTCTTTTGCAGCAAGAGAGTGTGTGGACTCTAATTAACCACAAACCCACACGTAAACATGCACACACAAACACATGCAGACAGTTCCAGATGCTGAAAAGGAGGAGTTAACTGTCTGTCAATCAAGTGAAGGACCGAGCCTTCATGAATTAATGAATATGCCCCTGCCTTAGAGTGCTCTGATTGGATAGGACTTTGCCTCATTTTGTTTATTCTCTTTGTCTCCCTATTGAATTAAAGCGACAGCACGTGCCCAGGATGTAACTCTGCTCTGTCCAAGGAAGAAAGGTTCTTTGGACTCACTCCTCTTATACAGAAATATATTTTTCTTTATATCCCTCCCTCCCTCTCTTCTTTCCTTCATCAACCCATCCCTACCTCTGTCTCTCTGGGTCCTTTTTGCATTTCTTTTTTTTTGTTTTTTTTTTTGTTTTTTTTTACTGGCAACTGCTGCTGCTGTATTTTATGACAGTGTGGGATACCTGGGTTTCTGTAGCGATTGGGGGGACAAAAAAGTATTAAATTTGAACTGCTTAAAACCAATAGCTTTTCATCTGACCTGATTTGTGTTAGATTTCAGTCTACAGTGCTATATATGCAGTCATATGCAAAAGTTTGAACACCCATTAGTAAAATGTTTCATTCATTTTCTGAATGAAAATACGTTAACACATCCTCTACAGCAAATAAACTTAAACATGACATTCTTCTGTTAGCTGAGTTTACATATTGGAGAAGAAATTAAGAAATGCCATAACTTTGCCAAACATTTTCAGTATGTTAAATTCAGCGAATAGAGAGTAATTTAAAAGTATGAAGAAGTGTGTTGTCTGTAGAGGACATGTTGACATTTTTTTCCCTTTGGACCTTAGAAAACGACATTTGACCAGGGGTGCTCCAACTTTGCATATCATCACTGTTCTAAGAAAAACAAGTATCTCCAAAAGGTTAACTTTACAGAAGAGGGCAAAAATGTTTTTTTACTTTCTGTAAGTTAATGTAAAGAGGTTTTATTACATGCAATTTTTGAGCATTTCTTTTGGTCCAGTCATCATGAAAGTTTCACACAATGTAAAGGGCAGCTGCTGAGCTCAAAGTATGCAGAAAACTGCAAAAAATTGAGATACTTTTTTTTTTGTGGACAGTGACTTTATGAATGTATATATGGGATATTTTCATTTGTTTTCACCTTTTGTTTTCCACTTACGAGACAATGCAATTGTAACTTCAACTGCCAGAAAACAGGTTGTGGCATCTGGTCTACTCTTGTGAGTAAAAATCCACAGTGACTGTAGAACTGAGTTGGGATTGTTCTTTTTAGCTTATTTAAATTGAGCAAAGCACTAAATGAAGTTGGTGGATTGTGTTTGGTCAAAGCTTATCAGTGACAGCCAGTATGAAAATGATTGCTGTACATTTCTAAAACAATTTATTTCAGACTTTAATGTTCATAAGACTGAAAATTGTTTTTATACAGGTAGTAAGCCAGTAGCAAATACAGCAAAAGGGCTGTACAACTCTGTAACTTGGGTCTGACTGCATGCTTGTGGTAGGAGTTGCATAACTGTTTTCTGTCTTTAGTGCTGTTATACAATACCTTGCCTTTTTTGTTTTTGGTGTTTTACATTTTGATGAATGTGAAATGTGTTTTCCTACATCTTGTGCACATCATTTAGTGAACTTCTGTCCTGAAGTCACTTCGTGGTGAGTCAGTGCTGTCTGATGATAACAGCTGTGTTAAGGGGTGGACACTTGCCAGCCACTGTGTCATTTAGAGCTGTGCAAATGTCATGATTGTAGGACTGGTCTCTATAATGTATGGACTAAGTAACTCCACACTTGTGTTTAGACAGATTTCAGTTGATTGTGCCTCTACCACTTATTTAATTTCCCCAATTCCATTTTATCAAGTGCAAACTCTCTTATTTAAGTCTCATTTCTGATCATCACCCATCCCAAAACTGGTAAGGCCTTGTCTGCCACTAGTCTCGAACCAGTCTCTCTCGCTCTCATTCCCACTCTCTCACTCTCTCACTCACACAGTGTAATAGACTGAGATTGGTGAAGGTTGGTTATAGGTATTAAGAGAAATGCAGAATGTGTCTGAGATAACAATTACTTCAGATTATGATCATTTAAGATTAGAACAATGTTTTAATGATCCATGGAGTTGTGGAGTGCTACTCTGGTTGTGGTTTTGTAGACATACTATAAGGAAAGTAGTAGGGTATCTAATGTGTTGGTATTAAGGCTTTGGCCAAGAACCCAAAATCACTCAGGCAGAAGAATCTGGTCCAAGTTTAGCAACCTTCCAGAAACTGATGTAGACATTTCATCAGAATCAGATTCATTGGCCTAGTATGGGTGACACACAAGGAATTTGGTTCCAGCCATTGGTGACTCTCTACACTGTTAAAAAAGATGGTTTTTCAAGGGTTCTTTGGTAAAGAAAATGGTACTAAATAGAACCATGAACACTCAAGAGCCCTTTGCAGGATTAAAGGGTTCTTTGCATCATGAAGGGGTTCTTCAGATTGATGGAGAATGTATTTTTAGATGGTTCTATATAGAAGTCTTTTTGAAAGGGGTTCTCTGTATCACCAAAATATAGAACCATTTTTTGCCAAGTGTAGTGTTATGTGATTGTTACTTCATATAAAGGGAAAATTGATTTGGACCAAATTGCAAGCAACTAAATCTTGTCACGTCTGCTGGTGGGCAGTATTGTGGTGCTAAAGCAGTGGGAGAATATCAGGTAGGTGATACAGATTCATAGGCTAAGTTCAAAATTCATTCGGAGTTATAAAGAACATGCTTATGTACAATAAATTATGAAAGCAGAAGGATTACATAGCAACACACGTAAGTACTCCTTTAACCGGTTATATTGAGGTCAGAAAGGTCGACAAGTTGTACATTAGTAACTTTGATAGATCTTTGCTTCCAAATGACGTTTAGTCCAGTACATTTCTGAGGAAATTACTCTTTACTAAGTTCCACTGTAGCCATTCATATTTATTTACCTATACGTAGTTAGGTTTTTGGATTTAATTTCACTTTGCCCCTAAACTGGTTTCTGTTGCTCATGCTTTTTCATTTTAGACCACTTTTTTGTCCTGTTACTTGTACTGCAAGTTGTTTTGGTAGCCACTGTTAATGATACTTGAAATAACAATTTTCGTTTTATTTCAGGATGTTTTATGGTACTCCGCCCACCTGCGCTAAAGATGGGCTCAACTGACATATAATCTCTGTCTGTGGTTTATTTATTCATATATTTATTTGTCTTTTTCCTTTATTGCTAGGAAATGCCCCAACAACACAAGAGGCCAATCAGCAAGAAACATGCTTTCACCAAACCACGCCCTCTGCCCTAGAGTTGGCCAATCGAAATCACGATATTACAAATAACCCGCCCACTCCGGATTCTCACAGTCAACCTGAGTCAACTCTAAACACAGGAACCAGGATCGTACCGCCCATATTTTTCAGTATAAAAGTTCTTTTAAATGCCAACGGAAATAAAAGAGACGTTTAGACGCATTTACTTTATTTTCACCCCCCAGACACGTATATATCATTTTTATTTATTTAATTTTTTGAGAGCCAAATCTGTGAATGTTTTCAGTGATTTGGCCAGTCACTTTCACTTTGCTTCAAAGAATTTATAGAATTGCACAGATGTTTGGATTTAACCACTGTTTTACACCAATATGTGATGGTGTACACACACACACACACACACACACACACACACACATATATATATAAGTCCCTAAAAATAAATGTTATACTTCTTTGTAATGCTAATCCAAGTAAGTACTTCTTAGTGAGCTTCTAAATTGCAAAGTATCGGCATCGGCAGACAAAGAACTCAACACTCGAAGTCCTATTTGCATGCTTAACTGGTTCTTCGAAGCTTTGAAGCATGGTGAAATGGTTCTTTAGACTCATAGAAAATATGTTGTATATGGTTCTATATATCAAAAAGAGGAACCATGCAAGGAATCATTGAAGCACGCATATGGTTCTTTGCGTGTTCATGATTCTATAAAGAACCATTGTTTTTACTAAAGAACCCTTGAAGAACCATCTTTTTAAAGAGTATAGCAATGTTGTAGTTTCCTTGTAGTCGTTCCACACTCTTAAAAGAAGATGGTTCTTCTTTAGTAAAGACAGTGGTTCTATATAGAACCATGAACACTCAAAGAACCATTTGCATGATTAAATGGTTCTTCAGATTGACGGAGAATGTGTTGTATATGGTTCTATATAGCAATAAAAAGGCTTTGCTACTGTTACAAGCTTGACCTCGTAACAATAGCAGAACCACTGTCTTTACCGACCCTTGAATAACCGTTTTTAAGACTAGTTTTATTGATTGATTGATTGCAAGTTTCAAGTTTGTCATTTGCACAACATGTCAAAAACATGATAAATATTCAGAGAAGATACAGAGACAGGAGGGACCCATGTAGGAAGACTCTCTACTATGTACAAATATATCAGACAAAGGATAATCTGAGATTACTGATTTATTTATTTATTTATTATGATTTATTTAATAACAATAATTATTATTCGCAGCAGAGTGAGGAGTGAGATGAAGGCGCATTATTTTGACAGCGGCTCTAGGAGGGGTCGTGAGTGGTCGCTGTCTTCACGCTGCTGCTGCTGCTGCTCTGCTCTCTGTTTGGTGAGTGAGTGGTTTCCATTTTCGCAGCGAGAGGCGGACGGCACAACAACATGGAGCCGGAGATGGAGGACAAAACGCTAGAGTTGATGGTGAGCTGACTACAACCACACAAACATGAACCCTGTCGTGAGCCGAATACGGGGTTGCGAGGGCCTCGGTCTTGTTGACTCTGTATGGCTGCGGTCGCAGCTGCTCGACGAACTCCGAGTCAGTTATCGGGCTGAGCGAGGGGAAGCTGGATTGCTAGGTTAGCTGGATAGCTAGGTTAGCTAGCTGTATTTCACGGGTCTGATGTGGATGTGGATAATTCAGCGCTGTCTGTAGGAATGCCGCCGAATTAGTCTATCAGCAGAACCTTGTTTACTAGCTACGAGTGTGGATTCAGTCAAGGAAACGGCTGTTATTCGTCGATACTCACCGTGTCGCAGAACAGCAGCTGCGTACGGCGGCCTCGCTGTTGTTGTTCACAGAAAAACGTCAATATTGAGGGAGCCGTCCGGTCATTGCGGCGTTGCTGCTGCGCCATTTGACCATGTAGCTCTTCAGCTTCTACCAAATTCACCACCGCCTCAGCCTGTTAGCCCTGTTAGGTCGGTGGCTGACTGGACAGATGTTTAGACAAATCCCTGAACCTCGTTACGATGATTTCTCATAGTACTCGTCTGAAAATTGATGTACCGTCGTTGGCAGCGTTTGGTTTAATTAGTTTCCTCTTCCTGCTGCGTTCACTCTTAAAAAGGTGGTACATCAGAGGTTCTTTAGTAAAGACACTGGTTCTGTTTAGAGCCATTTGCGTGCTTAACTGGTTCTTTGAAGCGTGGTGAAGTGGTTCTTCAGATTGATGGAG